AGAGAGAGAGAGAGAGAGAGAGAGAGAGAGAGAGAGAGAGAGAGGAACGTTCTTATGGGTTCTGCAGGCCTAGCTTACTTCTTCTAGGGCTGGTGTATCTTCTCTGCTATAGCTTCTTTTCCAGCAGAAGGTCAGATGGCAGGGCCCCTAGCCAGGAACAGATGAGCATGCTGTTGTGAATCAAAACTTCTATTAACTATTTTCCTACCCATGTGAAGTGTGAAGTTTTTGAAAAAATATGATAGGATTAATATTTGGTGGAGTAAACACTCCAGGGAATATTACTTCAAATGGTTGAATTTGATGAAGTTCATATTGCTTGTGGGTGAGTATTCTCTCAGCTTTGAAAAGCTTAAAAAAAAGAAAAAGAAAATAAACTAGTTGAAACTGCATAAACTTCAACTTGCAGTTTAGTTTGGCCTCTGACTAAGTATTTCCTCTGTGTTGTGTATCTGTAATTGACCTACAATTTGCTCCTTACCTCCTGATTTTTAAGCATATATTGCCAAAGATCACACCATTCTCTATGTTCATAGTTCCTATCTATTCTTTCTGGAGATCCAGTCATTGATGTATTTAGCTGCACACATGCTAATTTATTTTTCCCTTTAATATGATAAGGAGTTAATTAAATCTTTAATTTATTTTTTCCTCTCCAATAAACTTGGCATTCTTAGGGGACTGTTTAAAAAGGAACTTCATAGGTTTACTCATTGTTAAAGTGAACAATTTTCATATTTCATTTGCTATTACTGGGTGAATATGCAAGGTTGTGGGCAGTTAATGCTCATGAATTCTATATTCTTGTAGGAGACCAGAAACTTCAGAGAGAAAAGAAACTGTTTTGGGCTTGCACCTTTCTTCTCATGAGCTGTTCCTTGTTGCTCATGCTCCCTGCATGTCAGTTTGGTGGATAAATGCCTTCTACTGGGGACAGAGTCACCTTGGCCCAGGCAGAGCAGGGACATTGCTCATTGGGTTACCAGAGAAGAGCCAGATTGGAAGGACAAAGCCTCAGTACTTCAGCCTAAAAGGGACTTACTCTGGGGTTTTTGTTTCTTATGTTCAGGTTTAATGTTTTGGTGAGCTCCACAAAAAGTTCATCAAGCAATTGCCCAGTTGAGAAGCTTGTCAATGCACTTCTGCTAAACTCAGTACAAGTTATTCTTTAAGCAACAGTATCAGTGACTACTAAAATGTACATCCCATTATTTCCAAACAAATATCAAGAAAAGTACATCTATACATCTGTAAATTGCACAAGCAATGGTAGCAATAGGTAAAGCCATGGTTAACCTCATCTCCAGCCAATCATTGAAGAGAAACTCAAGAAGGGATTCATTGCGTAAAAATAAAATGAAGTCTTATTGTATTTTTTTTTTTAACCTTTTAAGCATACAAGCTGTTTTTCATACCTTCCTGGTTTGAGAACATCCCATCAGGACATTGGGCACAGTCATAGCTACAAAATTTGTTCCCTTCAATCTTCTTCTTGCTATACCCGGGATGGCAGATGTCACTGCAGAGAGAAAGAGGAGGCACCTGTCCAATGACATAGGAAGAACTTAGCGTTACAGAAAGAACTGTGGACTGCAACTCAGATCAGACCATCTATGAGTAAACAGAAAGCCTAAAGGTTTGGAATCTTGGATTGTTAATGGTTCAGATGGCATATTCTGTGGGAGGAATCTGAAGCCTGCATTGTGCTCTGAGTTTATGCTGTGTGTTGAGGTAATTTGCTGCTAAAGCCTTTAATGAGTAGCTAACTCATATTTTGTACAATGGAAAGAGCTTTTCTTCTTGTAAGTGAACCTGAATCTTTTGTGTTGTTTCCTTGGAATTTCAAAGAACCCTCCCAGTGCACAGCAGGTGGCTAATGAGGGTCAACACACACACACACACACACACACACACACACACACACACAGGCACGCACTAGAAGATAGAATTTCTTTAGTTATTCTGATCAATTGTGGAATGAGTGTAGCATTCAAGTAAAGGAAAACTAATTCGAAGCAATTTTGGAGCTCTCACAAGAAAGTGAAGCTGTGCATCGCTGTTTTCCCTCTGTATAGTCAATTGCAAACGTAAGTCAGAAACAGAGCCTGGGCAGATTCCAGATACTGAAGAGCTTCCTTTGGGACCCTTTGGTAAAAGGGCATACTCAGGTCCCCTAGTTCAATCCTTGAGCATGCAGGGACAGCTGGAAATAATGTTGGCTAAAACGCTGCTGAGTTAGTCTTCACCATACTGAGTTAAACTTCACCAAACTAGGTATCCGCTTAAGTCCAGTGGAGAAAGGACTTAGATGACTGAGTAGAAGCCAGCCGTGATGTTTAGTGCCTCTCCAGGATGTTGCATTTTCAAGATCATGCCCTTTCTCCACTGGACTATCCACAATCTACATTGTTTGGATTACTCCATTACACAAGTTTCATGCCTTCCATTTAAGAAGCCTTTTGTGACATATCAATAAGCACAGTCAGAGAGATTTGAGTGAGTCTCAATGACTGGCCCAGTATCGGCCAATGAACTTCATTACCAAAAGCAGAGTAGAACCCACATCTTCTGATTCCCACTCCCGCACTAACCACTAATCTGCACCTACTCTCTTCAATTAACATTTTATTTTGAACTCCATATATATCAAATCCCATTAAATATTCCTGTGAATGTCTAGGTGCATGGAAAATTTTGAGAAGAAATGCTTCCTCCATAATCCTGCAATCTATTGCATTCTCTTTCCCTCTTGGTTGACTTTGAATATGAATTGCTTAATGCAGTTAGATTCCAACCTGAGCCATGTGTCTTGGCCACTGGAGTCTTGTCTCATTAATGTTGAGTTGTTTCTCTGGAGAAGCATGAGGATCCAGTCTTCCCACTTTGACCATGACGAAGGAATCATTTGGGAATGCAACCAAGTTTGTGACTTCAAAGTCGCCCACAACCTCTCCATTCTCATTCATTCTAATTTCCTCTCCGACATTGTTGTTGAATGGGATGCTTTGAACCCATGAGTGGAGCTGCTTGCAGAAAGAAAGGGAATAATGATGATACAAAAATTAGAAGAAAATTTAGAGATGAATTGAGATTTCTTTCTAGAAAAGAAACTTGGAATTGAATGGCTTGTAGGGTGATAACTGATGGCAAGAGTATTTAGGCAGACGGTAGAGGGAAACAAGGCTGATAGGAAAAAAATATGCATGTGTTGGTACTATGGGTTGAAAAAGAAGACATAAGTTTTAAACATGATAGTTGGAAAGCATGAACATTTCTCAAGGAAATGAATAAATGCAGAGATCTGAGCTTGGGAAGAGATGGGCATTCACATACATTAGAAGTTGAACCCCTTTGACTTACTGGGGAACATAGATCACAACCTTACATGCTATCCATGATGGTAAGTAGAGGTTATGAAGGTTACCTGCCAGGGTTGCAGAGTCAGAGCTGCCAGCCTGCTCATGCCCCCTCTTGCTCTGTGTGAGGACATGGCCGTGAGAGCAGTGTGCAAGGCATGGGCCAGAGCATAGAAGAATTGTAGATATTGTAACTGTGGCCAGTCATGCTCATTTCAAAGA